GCAATGAACTGATTGTATATTGTGGTGTTATGTGTGAAGAAATAAAATTGCTTGGAATAGGAGGTATTAAAACTGGTGGAAATAAAAACGAAAGATATGGATAACGTAGTGTAAATGGTGCTATTGGAAATGATGCGGACATTTCTGAAACAAAAATTTTCTATAAATTATTAAAGAAGTTTTTAAAATAGAACTTTTTGAAGACAATAATTGTGTTTGATGATAACTGTAACCAAGCGTATAGGATATTACAGTACAGTTATAATATCAGTAGAGAATCTGTCATTTTTTGATACTGGTTAAAAATGAGCAAAAAAATGATGGATGCTAAAGCATGGAAGTGTACATAATATAAAAATAAAATTTTGAACAATGTTTTATAAAATAAAAAAAAAAGCAGTAAAAAAGTATATTAAAAATCAGAAAAAAAAGTAACGATACTTTGGCAAAATTTTTGGTCAAAAAAATCGCAAAGTAATTTGTTGTTGTCTTCATCTGTTTTTATTTCTTTAATCAGCAGTATTTCACACAAAAAAAAATAGTAAATTAAAAATCAGAATTTGATGAAAAAAAGAATTTTTTTTTTTGTTAGAAATCAAACGAATGAATATTTTGGAACAGATACAGTTGAAAATTTAACCGAATGTTTATTAAACAGAATTGTTGAATTTTATATTCATTGAGTAATTCATTGGAATAATCGCTACCGTAATCAAATAACTTTTTTTAAACATAACCACACAATTATTGTTCAAAAAAAATTTTTTTGCTTAAGATTAATCTATCTTAGTTTGTGATCAGCAGTTGTTCTTTTTGGATAGCCAATTTCAGTGTATATTTTCTTCTCCCATTCTTCTATGTGGATGAATGTAAACAAAAATTCAGATGGATCAGTTCCGTACTGAAAGATTCTACAGTAATCAGTGAAACTGATGTAGGGAAAAGAAAAATTTGTGGTTAAGCAAAAAACAAGAAAAAAAGAAAGGCTTTTTTTTCGGAAGTATTATCATCTGTAATTGGGTTGCAGCATTTAACAACGACAACAACTAAAAATGACCATTAAAATTGTAAAGGGAATAAATGATTAATTGTATCAATTATCATTTTGACTAATCTCAACAATACCATTTTGTCAATTTTTTATTACTTAACAACACACAGAAAAAAAAAAAATGTGTTTTTTATGCTGCAAAATTTACAGTAATTTTTCAACATTTCCATATGTTTATAATTTTGTTCTTGAAAAAATTTATTAGCTACAAAAAAAAAAAAAAAAAAAAAAAAAAAAAAAA